AATCTTTGTGTAAATTATTAATAAAATCGGGATATTTCCTTGTATCAAATATCTGCCAGCAGCAGAAACTTTCAATCACAGTTACGTCTATGCTTTAACTTTTTAACTTTAGCTTCAGACACAACATCTCCGCCGCAGCATGGACACCTTTAGAATACAAATCCCTCAATCCAGCGACGACTATCTCACAGACACTGTTATACATTATAATGTGGTTTGTCTGGATTACTTCAGATTTTATGAGGAATCCATTTTTTCCGAACACCAGGATTACGTAAATATAAGATGTCAGAAATTGCTCCCGACACTCAGACAGTGGTGATGTTGAACAGAGCTGAAGCAGCAGCAGACATGTTCTCATGAACCAGAGCAGCAGAGGGGGAGGGGGGAGGGGGGGGGCAGGACGAGGCAGCGACCGACCAGCGCGTTTAGATTTCTATCAGTAGATTTGTTGCACGCAGTCAGTTAATCAAATTTACAAAGCGGTTACTGTCGCATCCTGTCTGGATGTTTCTACCATGAGTGGATTCAGTTGCCGTGAATCCACGTTGCAGGACGCCTGCGTGCACATTGAATTATTGAAAGACGACCACAGTGATCCTCAGATGTGGATGAAAGCTGAGGCGAGGGTGGAGAGGTGGAGGTGAGGTCACTTCAGAGGAAGGTAAAGGGAGAGGCCTGATGATCCGTGTGCGGGGGGGGGACTGTCAGAGCAGAGCTGTTTGATGTGGTCGCTCTGTGAGAGATGATAGAGGTGCATCTCCGTCCCAAGATGAGAGGAACACGAGGACGGAGGGCTGAGGCTGTTTTATCTCCAAAGCACTCAAGTGCTGCTGCTTCAGGAATAAAAGTCTCTGTATAAAAGCCCCTCTTGTACATTAAAAGCACTTTTTTTATGGCAGGTAATTCAGTTAAATAACCCGTTTGCTGCCGGTAAATCTTCTGCTACTCTTCTGCTAATTGAGATTGCTCTGCACCATCCCACCGTGCTGCGTTCAGACAGTCTGCTTTCAGCACCGAGGCCGCTAATCAATGAAGCACGGGAGGCTAAACTAAAAACATGTCTTCCACATAATTAAACACATCATCATTGATTTACAGATAAAGTTCTTCCGCTGCAGTTTAAATTTGGCTGCAGTTACTGTACAAGTGCTTAGCTTGTACATTTTTTTCTTCACTTCTCTTGTTGTATTCACAGAATGTTTTTCAAGCTCTGGTTCACTTTCACAGTTTGGGTTTTGTTTGCAGTCGGCAGCTGTTTTCAGCAAAACACGCTTCATAAACCTGTCGTTCGCTTCCTGCTCAGCAGCAAACAGCAGCCAGACGGAGTTAGTGACCTGCTGGTGACAACAGTGGAGCATTCAGCAGGAGTTGTTTAACACTATAGATTCTATGTAAAGACGGACATCATGGCGGCTTGCCCAAAGTGAAGCCAAATCGCCGTGATCGCCTCCTGGTGGCCGGCTGCAGTAGAGGTCACAAACCCAGCCTCCGCCATGAAACTGGAGAAGTGGACAGAAGCGAGACTCTGTTTTAATATTATTGTTGCTTTGTGTCTGTTGCAACTGTTTAATTGTCATATTAACTTATATAAGTCGAAGCTGCGTTTATAGTTTCTTGTGGTTTCCAAGTTTCCAAGTGGCCAAAGAAATTATTTACTGCAGCTTTAACTTGAGCTGTGTTTCGGACATGAACTCCGCTTGTTCTTTGTCGTCTTCTTCGTGTGACTCTCCTGTTGTTCATGAGATATTTGTTTTCTTATATCTTCCTGTCAGTTGTGAGCTAGAAAAGACATTTACCTGCTGTAATCTCACATGGGTCCTCGCAGACATTTTCCAGGTTGGCTGTTACGAAAAGTTCCAGAGCAACTGACTCGGACAATTGTGTTCTCACCCACAGTCCGTTTGGAACTCTCAGGAAAATGTCCGGACGTCAGACGTATAGAGAGTATATAAATAAACTTGAATGACTGCGTTCTGTAAGAGCTGGACCACAGACGTACGTTACTAAGTCACAGTGAGACGTCCTGCCAAGAAAGTAACTGAGGTAAATGAAAGAAAAGCATCATTGAGGAGCCACGTCTGTTCAGTGTGCAGAAGTAACCGAGTCCTCTCTGGACGCCATCCAGACTCAGGCCCACAAACCAACTGCAATTACCAATTATATCGTGGTCCTTGAAAATTATTTGATGGGTCACTTTTTACCAGAGTTCCCAGGTTTCCAGCTTTTTGGAAACTTAAACCTCCCCCTCACCAGCCCGCGGCCCCCCCCGCTGCTCTTTGATATCAGCGTGATATTTTGTCCTTATCTCGCTCCCTGTATTTAGGACTGAGGGTCGTGTTGTTTCTCAAACTTCAGAACTTGACGTCTGACCGTGTGTTATTCACCAGATAACCCGTCGTCCCTGTTTCTGCCGGGTGTGCTGCACGAAACTAATTAGAGACGATCAAACATTAAAGCTAAATTCTTTCTCTTCCCCTCATCTCATTATGTTTCCATCCACCTGATCACAGCCGTGTCTCCGTCTTGCTCTGTCTGTTTCAGCTGGAAAGATGGTTTGGGTTTCTGTGCACTCATTCACCGACATCGTCCGGAGCTCATCGATTACGGAAAACTGCGCAAGGTGAGAGAACGCTGTTTGACACGAGCTCGAACAGAAACAAGCTGGACATAGAGAAGTCGGACTGTCGACCACAGACACTGATACGGATGGGAGTCATCATTAAAGATTGATATTGTGTTGATATTAGTCATACTTTCCTTTCCTCTATCAGAGTAGAATGATATTTTTGTATCAGTGTCAATCAATAACTTTTAATCTATAAAATATCTGTTTGTATAAATGCAAAAGTTAACATCATGCTCAACAAATGACATCATCGAATCCTCACGTCCGAGGCTGAAACTGGGGAAAGTTTTCAGAGAGTACTTAAAGTAGTTTTACTCACTAATTGTCTCATAAGCTCAAAAGTATTGAAGGTATTTTGCAATAATGTTTATATCTGAAATAATGTTTATGTAATATATAATTAACACATTCTGGGTCTTTCATTGGGTTGATTGTAAAATGGCAGCACTGTAGAACCAGGTCAGTTCAGGGACATGGACAGGTTCTGATTGTCTGTCTGCTCCTGACAGGACGACCCCATGACCAACCTGAACACAGCATTCGACGTGGCAGAGAAGTACCTGGACATTCCCAAGATGTTGGACGCAGAAGGTGAGCAGGCGGGGGTGGGGGGGGTAAAACAGTGACGTGGTGATGAGGCGACATTATTGATTCTTCCTGTGTTCAAAGACAAATATATATATTGTCCCAGACGTTTTGTTCCTACAGCCTGAAAGTCCAAATCGTCTGCTTTCCTGCAGTTACTGTCCAGGTGTAAGAAAGGACAGAGCTCCACGTTGTCTTCTTCACATTCCTCACATTCCTACATGTAGCACATCACTTCTCACTTTAACTGCTGCGTCACACATCGACGGATCATTTGCTTCCAGAGGAATCTGAAGAGAGCAAACATGAGCTGAGAGAAAAAGACCGGCGCTCTCCTTCCCACCGTGTTTTTGTTTCTGGCCTGTTTATTGATCACTTGAGACTAAAGTTTGCTTTGGCTTCGTACAACTTGACATTTCGTCCCAAGCATGAGAATAACATCATTAACAAAATAGACACAACTCGTCTTCTTCAGTGATCTGGGAGACGATATTTTGACTCATGCAGCTGTGCACACACAGGAACACAGACGTTCATTTTTTTTCTTGTTGTAAATGTGAAACATTTATTGGTCGATCAAAGGCGTCATTTAGAGTTTATGCTCATTTAGTTCATATCTGTGTGTTGAAAGTGAACCCACCCAGTTAAACACATCTGGACCACGAGACGACGTGTTTTTCTTTCCACTCTGGTTTTTGTTTATGTGAAGAGCTGAGCCGCAGCTCCACTTCCTGTTTCTTCATTTATCTGTTCTCTGTTTAACAACCTACGCTCCCCCCCCCTCCATCCTCCACCCCCTCCCTGACCTCCTCTCTTCCCCCGCAGACATTGTGGGCACTGCCCGTCCGGACGAGAAGGCGATCATGACCTACGTCTCTAGCTTCTACCACGCCTTCTCAGGCGCCCAGAAGGTATCCTGGATGCAGCGTCTCCTTCCTCCTCCTCCTCCTCCTCACTCCCCTCTTCCTTGTGTTTCTCCTCACAGGGCTCCTTTTCTCTCTGCAGTGCACCACGCCCCCCTGCAGGGGTCACTCTCCTTCACTTTCCGCATGGTTCACTCCACCAAATGCATGATGGGACGACAGCTGTCGTAGAGGCGATGAGCACAAGTGTGTCTCCAGTCCACCTTGTTGTAGCCACAGGCCCTCGGACTCACTTCTGATCAGGGTTTCGTTGCCTCAGTGGAGTCGGAGGTGCGGTGGCGTTTATCTGATAAGTGATGATGATGATTGACTGTGATGAAAACCATAGTTGCTGATGAAGAGCGACAAGTTGGCCTGAAGTCGAGCTCGTGGGAGATGTCAGCGTTTAAACAGATTGTTACGTTCGGCCCTGAGAGTGACAGATGTAATGGAGGGTGGAGGATGAAATTAAAAGTGGCACTTCACAGTCAGGAATCAAACCGGTGTTGAATTTAAATGGATCCGTGCCGCCTGGCTCCAGCAGGAGGCTGTGTCCTTGTTTTCTCTGAAGGAGAGAAGCGTTCCTCCGACTCTCTCTGCTGGATAACGGGTGATTGTCAGTCTGACAGCTGCCTTGAAGCCCGACAGGAGGCAGGAGGTCTTCTCCTCTCAGGCAGTCAGGGAACAGCAGAGCATCTCGAAGCAGGAGTTACATAAGAGCCAGGTTCAGTGCAGAGCCTCCCTGCTGCAGAGCGTCTGGACACAGCTGTGTTTGAGCACAAATGTCTGTGTTTATAGCTGCAGAGTGTGGATGGGCGTGGCCTGTGGATTGCATCACAGGTCAGAGAAGTGCAGGAAGACACTCAGCGAATGAAACTGCGGCAACGAGACTGTTTAAAGTTCAGAAACTGACGAGCTACCAGAGGCACTTGGCTTCAATGTGTAGATTTAACTTCAATCTACAAAATACTTTCAATATTTTACTTCATCCTCTCACCTCCAACTTAGATCTTGTCACTTGTTCTACATTTTTTTAAAGAAAATCAAGATTTCCCTTGAAACGAGACAAACTGCAGGTAGACTGGAGACGACTTGTGCCCCCCCACCGCTGCCTCCTCTTGTGATTACGCCCCCTGCTGGCCCCTGTGTCTCTGCACTCTTTTACTCTTGTGCATTTTTTTTCTCTCCTCTGTCCTCTCTCCCCTTCCTCTGTTCCCTGGGCAGATATCATTAGCACCTTGAGGCCAGATGAGAAGGCCGTCATGACTTATGTGTCGTGTTACTACCACGCGTTCTCAGGCAAGCAGAAGGTGAGACATGGAAAAAACAAGCAACAGCACCAAACAAAGAACGGGTACTTGTCAAAGTGAGCGGCTGGCAGCGAATGACAGATCAGCTTCAGCTGGAATTTGCCAACATTTGTTTTTCACTGCTTGAGTGTGATAACACAATCTGACCCTGCAACACTGAACAACACCAACAATGACAATTCCAGGCCTAACAAAACTTTTAATGTGAACTTTACCCAAGGTTTTTGTTTGGAATTCAATTTTCTAATTATCAGTAATATTTTAACTGAACATCTGACACATTTCAAGAATTTAATTAATTTCAAGAGGAACATGAAGAATGATACTGCAGAGTAACATTTACCTCTGAGCTCAGTGACATTGTGATATTTCTGAGGAACGTGCGTGGGTTAAATGAGCAGTGGACGATTTACACATTCCACGCATAAGGTGCTTTAAAGCTAATGATGGTACTTAAGACTAAATCTCTTCACATTTGATTTAATAGAGTGAAAACTAATTAAACTAATGGAAATATAATGGAAGTTATTTGTGAAGTGGATGTTATCCATAGTTTTCTGTGAGAATTCAAGTGAAATATAAGTGACATTAAATGACCTTTTGAAAAACCTCCGTCATTTATAAAAGTCAACACGATGATCTCTGCAGTTTAAACATCTTTACAACGATATGTCCAAACTTGCTTCACAGAGAAACTCTGAAGAAAAAGTTCTTGCCCTGAAAATCAATCCCTCTGTCCGCTGCCTCTGATGTCAGGACAAAGTCATTCATAAGAGCGCTCCTGGCTGTCGGGGCTTTTCAGTAAACAGGCCGAGTGTGCAAACATTTGCTCACAGAAGCACGACCTGCACATCCTGGCTCTCCTTTTAAGGCAGCCGGCCTGCTGCTCCCGGTGTAGCCCCCCCACAGCATGTCTCCCACCGAGCCAAGTTTCCCTGTGATCTTTTCACAAAGGAGGCTGGAAGCTGTCGTCTGTGTGGGACTCCAGGCTCTGAGCTGTGGGAGGGAAGATTCAAGTCGACCTCACTGTGGGTCTGTTCTCTCTAAAAGGACATGGCTGCGAAATTACGCTCCATTTTCAACCCATGTGTTTCCCTGTCGAGCTTTTTTACAGTGGAAATGACAGCGGCACAGTTTGGGCTGATTCAGTGTAAAACTGGGCGCATCAGTCGATATCAATAATTATCACTATGAAAGCCACATTGTTATTTATTTTGAGCTTAAACTTTAAAGAGTTTAAAGACCACATGTGCAGTTATTTACTAATTGACTCTTTGCTCCAGCAGCAGAAGAAAAAGTGAATTTATGTTCTGGTGACTTCAGTGAATAAATTAAAAAGATTGCTGAGAGTCTAAACAGAGATCCACTGAGATCCAGAATATTTCACAAAGATGATTTATTGATAAAATAAATAAATTTATTTATAATGTGATGAGATTATGAGCAAAATAACAAAGTGCGGTCAACAAACTATGAGTTATCACCACCGACATATGAACATGACCCAACGTTACCAATCACTTTGATCATAATGAAGAATTATATCAAAAAACAATAACACCAGACAAAAACAGGCTAATTACATAACAGTTGACTTCACTCATGGCTCCTACAAATATATTTCTCAAAATATTGAACTGTTCCGGTTGAAATTCTGTCCCCATGAAAGCAGGGCTGGTTATCTCAGATAATTGTCACCATAAATGTCACATCATTTTTTTTTTTCAAATTTAATGACAGATTTGTTTTACTCCTGAGTGAAGGTTGTGAAGGTTTTAAACTTTTGTTCAGACATTCACAAGCTTACGTGTGATACCTCCTCACTGTGCCTTCACTGCGCATTAGTAATATATTGAGGTAATTATTGATATTGTTGTATTGGCCCAGACAGGATTCAGTACAGGTTAATGAGTTTGTTATAATTTGAGGCTCTGTAAACTCAATACTCTAAAATGGTGATGGAGAAAAAGAAAATGATCCAGACTTTATGCATGATGCTTAAATCTCTTCCTCTATTTTCACTATAAAAAACCTTTGCTCTGGTTTTCAATGAGTTTTCTGACCACGACCACTCGTCTGACTACATGTTGTCATGGAAACTCTGCTTCGCTCATGCATTTCCAGCGTAGTGATGAAGAATGACAGGCCGTGTTGAGGAAGTGTTGTGTCATGGATGAGTCTCTCTCTTTTCTCCCCCCCCCCCCTTCTGGGCTGGTTTTATTTTCCTATTCTCTCAGGAGCCTCTTTCTTTCTCCCTCCAGTCTCTGTGTGTCGGCTGAGAGGCTGAAATAACACACTGTTTTCGCTGCTGCTCTATAAAAAGACAGTGGTGCAGAGAGAAAGGTGCCCCTACACCTGACAGCAGGTACAATGTGATGACTCTCCGGAGTCCCTCCTGCTGGAAAAAGATTATTAATCTTTAGACATTTTTGTGACATTCACGTTGCAACACACAAGCTCAGACAGCGATACACAGATAACGGCGAACAGCAGGACGCCCTGTTTTTACTTGCTTGCAGCATTGTTGCTCATCCATTGCTTCATCCCCCAAGAAACTACTTGTTTGGGAAATGTTCTGTAGTGTAGGCGGATATGCAAGTCAAATAAATGCATTGCTTTAATTTCATGCAGCACACCCCAGGTACAGCACACAAACACAGAATAACACCAGAGCTCAGTGACTTTTCCTGCGTCTCACCCTCTTTCTCCCATCGTCCTCGTCATCCAGGCGGAGACGGCGGCCAACAGGATCTGCAAGGTGCTGGCCGTCAACCAAGAGAATGAGCAGCTGATGGAGGACTATGAGAAGCTGGCCAGTGATGTGAGCACACCCCCATTCTCCTGTGATTGTCCTGCACCACCACTGTCCCCGCTCTCTCCCCCCTTGTTGAGTCACTCCCCCACCTCCCTCAGCCCAGGGGTGTCTGTGCTCCGCGCAGGTGCAGGGTTAGAGGCCACAAACATGCTCCAGCAAGATAAACACTGTGGCTCTGAGGCTTTAGCACACAGATGCATCAAAGAAGTAGATTTCTCAAAGATTATAAACTAGTTTTTTCCTGTTTTAACTTGTTTAAAATACTTTTCTTCAACTCGTTTTCTGTTTTTTACATATTTAGGTTGATAAAGGCAGACTTTGAGTAGCAGAGACTTGAAACTATCAGTATTCAAACTGAAATCATTTGTTTTGATAACTGCTTTTCTTTGTCTCATGTAGTTGTGACTTTCAGTTTTAAACTGTTAGTCGAGCCAAAAAAGTAATATGAAGAATTTGGCTCCAGTTTTATCTTAAAGTATTTTCTGACCAAACGATTCATCTATGAATTGAGATCTGCAGATTAACTGATAGTGAAAATGATCATCAGTGAGAGAAGTGTGTATTCCGTCATAGTGAGCATTTTATTTTTCCTCGGGTCGTCAAAGTTACATTATCGATGGAAGACTTCCATGTGATGCATTCACTGTCAGTGGGTCTGTCTAAGCTCAGGTTTGGTTTTAGTTTATAGTTTGAAGGGAAAGTGTTGATGTGATGAAACATCAAAAACTCAGTTATGGATCAAATCAGAAATGAAATGTTCTCAGAGTTGAATTTGAAGAATTGATAAAAACAACTCAGCTAACCAAGTATCTTACCCTTTTATTTTTTTCCACACATTAATCACATCCACTACATCTCATTTACTTCCTCTCTTTCCTCTCCATCAATCACCATTCTGCATTTCTCTTCTGTTTGCACGGTTCTCCTTTGCCACTCTGACCGGCTTCTTGTCCTTGAACTTGTTTTTCCTCCATTTTCTTCCTCTTATTCTCCACCTTTACCACACACACACACACACACACACACACACACACTCTCACACACGCCAGCTGCTGGAGTGGATCCGTCGTACTATTCCCTGGCTGGAGAACCGCTTGCCCGAGAACACCATGCAGGCCATGCAGCAGAAGCTGGAGGACTTCAGAGATTACCGCCGCCTCCACAAGCCGCCCAAAGTGCAGGAGAAGTGCCAGCTGGAGATCAACTTCAACACCCTGCAGACCAAGCTGAGGCTCAGCAACAGGCCCGCCTTCATGCCCTCAGAGGGAAAGATGGTGTCGGTAGGTCACCAAGACTCAGAAACACTCAGTTTAAGAAAGTTTTGTTCCCTCAGGCCAAGACAAGCTTTTGTGAGTAACTTCAACTTCCTTGAATCACATGATGTCAGGGGACATTTTTATCCTGGGTCTCACTTGGTTACTTTAACAGCCTGAATATAACATAGATCCTCATGACCTTCAGTATAAGTATATAGGACGCAGCCAGAACACTTTTAAAACCTGTAAACCAAAGATTGAAATTGTATATAGTTGTGTATTTATAGAGTCACACAATTGCATGTTCATATTTCTGTTTTTGAAATATCAACAAAGTGTCATTTCTTTTTCAAGCTGTGGTCATTTTTTCATATTTACAATGGGTCAAATTACTCAGTACAATGTGAACAAGGTTCCATATTTCAGTGAATAGTTTTGTTTTTACAGTCGAAACCTTTTTAAGTCAGAAGCAGCAAGAAAATCCATATTTACAGGACGTGTAAATAAACAACTGTTAGCCAACAAGATCCTCACATCATTTTTTAATTGGGTGATGATGATGGTTTTGTGTTTCATTCATGTTTCCGAAGTTCACAAGTGTCTAAACATATCTGTCAAAGCAGGTTTCACTTTAGTTTGACAGATAAATACCCACTATTTGTAGACCTCACCTAATTTACACCTGATTCCACTCTTATGTTTATTTCTGTGTCTGGTGTGAATACATTTCTCTTCTGCCTCATCCAGGACATTAACAATGCGTGGGGGAATCTGGAGGGAGCGGAGAAGGGCTATGAAGAGTGGCTCCTAAATGAGATTCGCAGGCTGGAAAGACTCGACCACCTGGCAGAGAAATTCCGCCAAAAAGCAGCGATCCATGAGGCTTGGACTGAAGGTACTGAGAATGTTAAAAGGAGCTGAGAACCACTTAGGTCTTGAACAGTTCGTTATCCAGACAAGTGTCACTGTTGATCAACTTTAGTTTGGAATAAATAAAGTACCCCCCCCCCCCCCCCTGCAGGTAAGGAGGAGATGCTGCAGAAGCGTGACTACGAGACGGCCTCTCTGTCGGAGATCAAGGCCCTGCTGAAGAAACACGAGGCCTTTGAGAGCGACCTGGCTGCGCACCAGGATCGCGTGGAGCAGATCGCAGCCATCGCACAGGAGTTAAAGTGAGAGGCGACAGAACAGAGGCAGGGTCGATGGTAGAAAGATGGAAAGAAAGAATAGAACAGGGATGAATGCACTGAAAGTATTCCCAGTAACTCTTTCTACCATGGTTGTACTAATCATCTCTCTATAATGATCTCAAACTTTATTATAATTCATATGTTCACATCAAAAGGATAGGTTTGAATTTTCTTCATTTTTCTGTGTGAGTAACCAAAAATAAAGAAGAAAAGAAACATAACCCTCAAAGGATCCCTTCAGGGGCCCGTTAAAAAAAAAACCTTCACACCACAGAAAAACAAACAATCAAGATAATGAACAGAGTCGCAGCAGGAACGCAGAGGCGTTACAGTGCATGATGGTTCAGAAAAAAACAAGTGAATTCACCAGATTCAGTCCAAAACTGTGGTTATTACAGAGACAATGATGATAAATCTCCTGTGTTCTCGTCTGTTTGTGCTCCAGTGAGCTGGACTACTACGACTCCCCCAGTGTAAACGCTCGCTGCCAGCGGATCTGCGACCAGTGGGACGCACTGGGAGCTCTGACCCAGAAACGCAGCGAGGCTTTGCAGGTGAGACGAGTTGAATTTCTAACTCCTCAAATTCCCATCTCTCGTTTTAAATTCCCGTCTTCATCAGTTTTCACCAGATCAGTGATTTTCAGGCTTCTCCTCCCGGGTCTGAGGACCCTTTAAAATCTGCAGATTTTTATCTGTTAAAAAAGTAGAACCCCCTGAATCCATCTGCATTGTTCTCTGTGAATCCTCAACTTTCTCTCCTCAACACTCTGAAGATCGATAAAGAAAAACCTTTGAATTTTCTTTTACAGAGAACCGAGAAGCTGCTTGAAACCATCGACCAACTGTACCTTGAGTTTGCCAAAAGAGCGGCTCCATTCAACAACTGGATGGAAGGAGCCATGGAGGACCTGCAGGACACCTTTATCGTCCACACCATCGAAGAAATTCAGGTGAGCACAGAGAGGAGAACTCGCAGAGGAGTTTCATTTCATCACAGAATAAATATGTTGCAGAGAATTTAAAGCAGTAGTTTGACATTTGGGGAAAAATGCTCACTGGTGGGTTAGATAATGGACTCGAGAGAAAGATGGATAACACTTCTGCTTGTCTCTTAATTACCCAGAAAAAAGCTAAAATAGCTAAAATATCCTGAATACGAAGCTGCCATCTGGCACCAAAGAGATTATCTGTGGAGCCGCAATGTCGACGCCCTGCTGATACACACTCTCAGCCAATCACGCGCCAGAAACATGAACACTTGGACAAACATCAGAGAAAATTGATGTTTAATAAATACGATGTCGGAGTAAAACGCAGGTTATCTTAGCTAAACTGGCTCCAAGTAGATCTGCCAAACTGTAAAAAATGACATCTGTGTGGTTTTACTGTGGGAAGAAAGATAAGCAGATATACCAAGGCCAGAAATATTTATGGTGCAACCCCCTCCCCCGTAAACCTGGAACTTCTTGTTTTTAACATTTCAGTATTCTCCTGATAGATACGAAAGAGTTGCATGAATGAAAGTGATCACTAACTTTTGTCCGGTCACAGAATAGTAATAGTTTCTAAGACGACTTGAGAGAAGTTGTCTAAATTAAAAAACTAGTTCTGTGTCACTGAGACGTTCAGAAAGAAAACCACAGGATGTTTCATTTTCTAAATTAAGAGAAGGAAAACCACGATGAAAACCGTTGATGTTAATGTGTTTTATTTTTGAATTTCGTGTCCCAGGGATTGAGCACAGCCCACGAGCAGTTCAAAGCCACGCTGCCGGAGGCGGACAAGGAGCGCCAGGCCATCCTGGGCATCCACAATGAGATCGCCAAGATTGTGCAGACTTATCATGTGAATATGGCCGGGACCAACCCCTACACCACCATCAACCCGCAGGAGATTAACGCCAAATGGGACAAGGTAATGAGATCAATGAAGGAAGATCTAATCTGGTAGTTTGTGTCTGCACAGCCACAGTCCTCCAGTTTGTTTGTCACTCACAGCCTGAATGTCGAGACAATCCACAAAGACTTTGATAGATTGTGGAGGATTTTCTTTATGTTCATCATCATCAACATGTTCTCTGTTCATTCCAAGTTTCATTCTTCTCTTTTCATCAGAGTCACATTCATGCATCTTACCACAGTTGACGTTTCCTTCTCTCTCCTGCCCCCTGTAGGTCAGACAGCTGGTGCCGCAGCGCGACCAGGCTCTGATCGAGGAACACGCCCGACAGCAGAACAACGAGCGTCTGCGCAGGCAGTTTGCAAACCAGGCCAATGTCATCGGGCCCTGGATCCAGACCAAGATGGAGGTCAGTGTGGCTGGAGGCAAAACAAGTCAAATGACCACGTTCAGAATGAGGCCTGCTACGTTTGGTCGGCTAATGGTTTTTGCTAAATTGGCTAATTTTATTCTAGTTCCTATTCTTACTGCAGTTACTAAGGAATTCATTAATGTCACAATAAATGCAGCATTATTCAAAGTACTTCACAGCCAACACTCACTTCTCTCAGGTTCTGGAAAACATAGCTGCTAAGTATGGAGTCGATAGGATGGACAGGATTTTTGGATTTATGAGTCGGATGATATGATGATCCTCTGTATACATCCGGTTTAAGGTTTTTTTGTGTGTGTGTGTGTGTGTGTGCCGCTGCAGGAAATCGGCCGCATCTCCATCGAGATGCACGGCACCCTGGAGGACCAGCTGACAAACCTCCGTCAGTACGAGAAGAGCATCGTCAACTACAAGCCAAAGATCGACCAGCTGGAGGGAGACCACCAGCTCATCCAGGAGGCTCTCATCTTCGACAACAAGCACACCAACTACACCATGGAGGTGAGACGGCACTTTTTCACATCGACTCAATGTGTTGAATAGAGTCAGATTGTTTTCAGACGGTCGAGGTTCACCACAGAGAGAGGAACCAGGTGTGGCAGTGTGATAAGATGACTACAGGAAGAGTTTAATTCTACTAACCTCCAGTCTCCAGTGAACAAAAATACCTTTATACTTCTCATCATGTGCGACACTATGAACCGTCTGTCAGGAATAGTTTCTATTAGCCAAAATATTTTTTTTCAATAATAAGTTCTGTGGCAACATTTTGTTTTACTGCCAAATTGAAGGGTTATGTTTCCAGAGTAAAATTCAAATATTTACATTAAATATAATCAGGTAGTCAGTGGCTACTTTCGGATTTTTTATGTGTTTCATGTGTAACTTTCTGTTTTCTCTGCTGTAAAGTTCATCAGTCGTTTCCTCCACACCGGATAAAACAAACAGCTAATCATCCACAACCAGTGTTTGACTCACAGCTTAATCCCAGTTAAAGTAATTGACCTGAGACTCTTTTACTTCACACCTGTTCCATGACCCTGATTAAACGTCCTCTGCCTTCGTCTCTCTGTTTCTCTCCTCCGCAGCACATCCGTGTGGGCTGGGAGCAGCTACTCACCACCATCGCCCGCACCATCAACGAAATCGAGAACCAGATCTTGACGCGAGACGCTAAAGGCATAAGCCAGGAGCAGCTGAACGAGTTCCGGGCGTCCTTCAACCACTTCGACAGGGTCAGTAGTCAAACTGAGTCGCTGTGCAGCGGAGGCGAGGGGACGTGTCGTGGGTTGTGTGCTCCTAATTTGCAGTTTGATTTTTGGGAAATAGACGTCTAATGAATCAGGAGCAGGAGCAAAAAGATTTCATGTTGTTAAATCCAGGGCCTGACATGTGGGAAAATATGTGAATTCACTCTCTCACTGTTTTTCGTACAGATGTGAGACTAGTGTCAGTCTTCTTATTTAATTCTCAGCCAGAAATCATTTCTCAAAATGTCGAACACTAATTCTAAATATGTGTTCATCCATTTCTGACGTGTGGAGTCACAAGTTTGTCTTTCATACATTTAGACTGCATCAGCAAAAAGAAGAAGTTGAGGTGAGGATTTATCTTTTCTGGGTCCGTTCACGTCGTGTCGTGCCTCCCGAGGCGTGGCTGGTCTTTATCGATCCTTGAACCAGACGATGCCGAGTTTGTCGAGTGAAACAGTTTGTGTGTGAAAAGCATCCGGCTGTGGAGTGACCTTAGTGCTCGGTTGACTTAAAGTGCAGTGACACAAGGCAGGAGAATAAGAAAGAAGTCAGCGTCTAAATTAAAATGAAATCTACAGGTAAAATGAAAACAGAGAAACTGGTTTATACAGTTTCTTCCCACTCAAGCCTGTTTCTACAAAACCTCCTTTCTACGCTCTGTTCCGACCCCAGAACTCTGTGTTTACACTGGTGCTCACCGTGACAGGAGCAGCACCAATTATGGATGAGTTTTTATTTAGCTCACCCTCCTCCCCCTCCTCCTCCTCCTCACCCCAGCTCTCCCCTGGATGCAACCATTACCTCATACATTCTTCCAGAGCTGCTCTATTGTTAACAAATACCTGAGGAGGACCGTCTGAAGGAAGATCTGGATCTGAACTCGTGCCTTTATTTTATATTTTATTAGATTAAGTCTCCACACGTCAAAGCTTTCTGCCTCCGTTTATTAATGAATTGATTGATCTAGTGACAGAAATCTCAAGAACTGTTGATAATCATGTGGACAAGGGTCAAATGATATTTTTTAATTTTGACATATAGGGATTTACTGCTTTTCTATATCATATAGATATATGATATAGAAGAGTTTTTTCTTAAAACCGTAAACTTCAACGAAGAGGTAATTACTTAAAATAATAATCACTAGCCGCATCCCAGGCCAGAGTTCAATGAGTCTGAGTCACTGAAGAAGATGGTAAGTTTAAAAAGCCTTTAATACCTCATCATGGCCGCTGAATCATACCGACTGTAAAATTACGTTTCAGCTTTTATCAGGGGAAGCACCAAATGATCTCCTCTGGGCCGCTGCGTCCCCAGTGATCACATGATCAGTGTAGACAGGGGAGCAGTCATGTGACAGATCATATGTCAACAAATCAAATCATGCACAAGCTCTCACAGCATCTGAATGTTAAGATGTGAATGTGTTTTTATGAAGCTGTGACTGTCCAGAGACGTTTTTTTGACTTTCTGTTGTGAAGTACATGTGCCATCGATGAATAACCTCACCACAGGGCCCAGTAGTCTGCCTGCCACACTGCACATTAACGCCTCTGAATGCCCTCGCCCAGCATGGCAGCACTGCTGCCACCGTGTGTTCACCTGCCAGATCCTAATGAATATGCACTGTGTTCTCTGTTCTCTATCTCTCGTGCATGACCCTCTCCCTTCACCACCCCCACCCCCTCCCCACCACCTCTGTGCCCGTGCATGGTGCACTCCCTCCACCCTCCCCTTATCTCCCCCACCTCCTCCACCTCACCTGCCTCCTCGTCTTACCCCATCCACCCCCGTCCCCCCACCCCTCCTCACCATCACTGACACCGCTGTATGTGTTGCTGCATGGCCTGTGGCCCCCCCGACGCCTCGCCTGGCACTGGCCCCCCCCACACCCCAGGACCGCTCGGGCACTCTGGGCGCGGAGGAGTTCAAGGCCTGCCTGATCAGTCTGGGCTTCGATATCGCCAACGATGCACAGGTACTTAAACGTAGCCACACCCCCGCGGTGAGAGGTTTAACTGGTTTCTTTTTTTTTTTCTTTCGCACTTTTTCCTCCTTTGTCTTCCTCTCCTCCCCCAATTCTCCCTCTCTCTCACCTTCATCATGCAACGTCCACTTTTTGCGGATTGTTGCGGCGTTTCCTCCCAAAATCTGCTCTTTGTTCATCCTTTATTCTTCCACTGACTTCCTCTGCTGTCCCTGCTTCTCCTTCTCTATCTCTCTCTCCTCCTGGTCTCGTTTGTCCATCGCTGACCTTGTAGAAGAGAACAGGAATCATGGATGCTGAAGACTTCAAAACCTGCCTTATCTCCATGGGTTACAACCTGGTAAAGCCATGAGCACCTTTCAAGCATGAAAATGTGACAGTGTGTGATTATTGAAACCAGCTGGAAATGGTAATAAATACTGTAGATGTAACTGTTTTTCAATTTGAAGAAACTGTTTGTGCTGTACGTCTTAGATTGCTCAAAGAAATAAGAGATTTCAGAAATATCTAATAATCACTTGTGTACGATGTAATGATCAAAATATGTTTTACCACTTTATGTAGGATGCCAGTCATTTGCTGTGTCGCCACAGAACCCATTACCATGGCAACTGAGCTTCCTTTCTCTCGCCTCCAGGGTGAAAACGAGTTCTCCCGCATTATGAGCATAGTGGACCCCAACAGGATGGGCCTCGTCACCTTCCAGGCATTCATCGACTTCATGTCCCGCGAGACAGCGGACACGGACACTGCTGACCAAGTGATGGCCTCCTTCAAAGTCCTGGCTGGGGATAAGGTACGGGTCGACCGCAGTATCAGTTTTATTCAAGAAGAATAAAAACAACAGTGTTTAAAACACTTTTTTAGAAAACCCTAAAAATAGAGAAAGACTTTAAATAACAAAACAGCAGCATAACGTTTAAATCTATGTTTTTAGATCTACAACAGATCACATGACTATTTGTTTGAGGATTTTATGGGGATTTGTAATAAGAAGTAACCCTTCAGCTTGTCATGCTACCTGCTTTGCGTAAAATGGCAAAAATTCACAACATAGATGTGAAAAATTCAACTATTATTGCACAAAAAAAACACCAGAGAAAGATTGTTTTTTTTCTTTTTTCTTATAGAACAACATACATTTTCATTCCTGTTAGCCATGGCCATATGTGCAAACTATTTTTTATTTTTGTTTATGTTTCTCTAGCAAAAATAAAGATGTTCCTAGTTCATCTATTTGAGTAGTTTGACCACCATGAAGTTAGAAAACTCCCAGCCAGAGAAGTAGTGAAGCAAAAATCTCATGAGACCATGATGTTATTTAAAGACATAAAAAGTGATTTCTGGTCACTAAAGGGCAGAGTGTGAGTTATGTACTCATCAAACAGAAAAAGAGCGATGTGGGAATCCTGTTTATCACCTGTTCAGTGTAAGTCCAGCCGGTTTTCCACTGGGTTGATCTGCCAAATACCTGCTTCTCTCTGGTCTGTTTCACTTTGTTTAGCAGTAACTCATTTATTCCAGCTCTCAGCATCTCAACAAATGGTTCAAATAAACAAAGAGCTGAACGTGGCTGTGAGATGCATCAAGCTGCTGGTGCTGATTCTGAAAATAGTCAAAACTCTCACTTTAGATAATGAATCTGAATTAAAAACATTGTAAATGTTCTTTATTCATTTGTTCCCCACGCTCTCCCAAATGCTGCGTCTGAGTTTAGAAAGTATTTGAATCTCCCTCACAGCTGCTGTTCTAACATGAAAACATGTCATTTTCTTTTGTCCTTTTTTGGCAGAACTACATTTTAGCCGATGAGCTGCGCCGGGAGCTGCCTCCGGACCAGGCCGAGTACTGCATGGCCCGCATGGCCCCTTACACCGGCCCCGACGCTGTGCCAGGAGCCCTTGACTACATGTCGTTCTCTACCGCTCTGTACGGAGAGAGTGACCTCTGAACACTCTGTCAGTCGTCCTGACTTGGGACCACCAGCCTACCTGCTCCGATCACCGCCACGTCCTCCGACTGCCCCGTCACCACACTCCTGTCCTACTACGCTCATTTTTTGTACGTCTCTGGCCTTATCTCTTCGTCACTATCCTCTGTTTCTTCCTCCTCCTCCTCCTCCCACCTGTCCAGCCTCGTCACCGCTCCCTCACGCTCTGTCTCCGTTGTTTTTGTTTCCCACGCGATGCAGCAGCTCTCCAGGTTTACAAAGAGGGAGAGAGAAAAATGTTTGTTTCTGTTTTTATTTTCTTGTTGTCATTGTTTTTCTTCATAAAATGAATAAAGTTAACATATTTTATTATACTGAACAAAAAAGGTATTTTTCTTCACCTGATTGAAAATAAGAGTCAAAAATTGTAATAAAGAAAAATTGCTATACTTCCTCTTCTTATTCTCCTGTTTGCTGCAGGGATCGATATTTTTCATTGTGTTTTTTAACAAGGATACTTTGACTTTTTGTGCCTTTAGCTGAATCTCCAGAACAACTTATAATGACACAAAGTGGAAAAACATGAATCATCAGACTGTGTATTTACACTTATGTTCCTGTTAATTCAGGTAAGATTTATCTTTAAAATGGTTGTGGTGCCTTTAATACTCATATGAACGTAGCGATCATCTGCATTAAGAGTAGATTATAAATCCTTTAACACTTTTGTGGTTTTGCAACTTTTTCCATTCACTGCAGGTCCCATAATAAATATTACTTTATGCCAAACCTGCCAGACTTTTGAGATTGTGGTTAAATGACAAAATTGAATTTGGGTTTAATATAAAACTTGGATAGTTGCTCAGTTAAGGAAATTCTCTACGATGAACATCATGTCAGTTTCATTTCCAATTTCAGACATTTATCTGACAAACATGCAGAAGAACAGGGAACATATAAGACGAGAGGCTTCCACTGAGTTAAAACTGAGTCTATTCCATTATTTGACAGAAGCTGGGCTGATTATATGAATGCAGTGCACAATACAAAAACATAGTGGATGGTGGTGATGCATCTTAAAGCCGGCTACAAGAGGATAAATACACCTATCAGTGTGAATACAAATGATGGTGGATGTACAAAACACATTTGCCAATATTATASTWTTTTATTTGAGAACATGGGACAAGATGGTGAATATCTCTCCTGCACAGGCTGGATCTTAAATCTCCAAAGACCAGAAGATATTCACAACCACCAGTGGATGTTAAGGAGGAATCATCAGTTGTGTACCTTGGTGTCATCGAGTGTTTCAGCCTTTTTATCTCCAGGTCTCTACATAGCTGGATGTGTGAGAATATCTATATATCCACAGAATATTGGTTCACAATCCCATTCTATAAACACTCAATACTAAATGGTCCTTTAGGGACACTTGATAAGAACATTTTACAAATCAGTTTTCATTCTACTCAAC